TGCTGTTAGTCTGATGGGCTTCCCTTTGTGGGTGACCCAACCTTTCTCTCTGGCTGCCCTTAATATTTTTTCCTTCATTTCAACCTTGGTGAATTTGACAATTATGTGTCTTGGGGTTGTTCTTCTTGAGAAGTATCTTTGTGATGTTCTCTGTATTTCCTGAATTTGAATGTTGACCTGCCTTGCTAGGTTGGGGAAGTTCTCCTGGATACTATCCTGAAGAGTGTTTTCCAACTTGTTTCCATTCTCCCCATCACTTTCAGGTACACCAATCAAATGTAGATTTGGTGTTTTCACATAGTCCCATATTTCTTGTAGGCTTTGCTTGTTTCTTTTTACTCTTTTTTCTCTAACCTAGTCTTCCTGCTTTATTTCATTAATATAATCTTCAGTCACTGATACCCTTTATTCCACTTGATCTAATTGACTATTGAAGCTTGTGCATGCGTCACGAAGTTCTCATGCCATGGTTTTCAGCTCCTTCGGGTCATTTAAGGTCTTCTCTACACTGTTTATTCTAGTTAGCCATTCGTCTAACCTTTTTTCAAGGTTTTTAGCTTCCTTGCGATAGGTTCAAACATGCTCCTTTAGCTTGGAGAAGTTTGTTATTACAAAACTTCTGAAGCCTACTTCTGTCAACTTGTCAAAGTAATTCTCCATCCAGCTTTGTTCCATTGCTGGCAATGAGCTGCAATTCTTTGGAGGAGAAGAGGCACTATGGTTTTTAGAATTTTCAACTTTTCTACTCTAGTTTCTCCCCATCTTTGTGGTTTTATCTACCTTTGGTCTTTCATGTTGGTTAACTACAGATGGGGTTTTGGTGTAGATGTCCTTTTTGTTGATGTTTATGCTATTCCTTTCTGTTTGTTAGTTTTTCTTCTAACAGTCAGGTCCCTCAGCTGCAGGTCTGTTGGAATTTGCTGGAGGTCTACTGCAAACACTGTTTGTATGGGTATCACTAGCTAAGGCTGCAGAACAGCAAATATTGCAGAACAGTAAATATTGCTGCCTGATCCTTTCTCTGGAAGCTTCGTACCAAAGGGGCACCCGCCTATATGAGGTGCCTGTCAGCTCCTACTGGGAGGTATTTCCCAGCCAGGCTACACAGGGGTCAGGTAACCACTTGAGGCAGTCTGTCCGTTCTCAGAGCTCAAATGCCATACTGGGAGAACCACTGCTCTCTTCAGAGCTGTCAGACAGGAATGTTTAAGTCTGCAGAAGTTATCTGCTGCCTTTTGTTCAGATATGCCCTGCCCACAGAGGTGGAGTCTGTAGAGGCAGTAGGCCTTGCTGAGCTGTGGTGGGCTCCACTCAGTTTGAGTTTCTCGGCTGCTTTGTTTACCTACTTGAGCCTCAGCAATGGCAGACAACCCTCCCCCAGCCAGGCTGCTGCCTTGCAGTTCAATCTCAGACTGCTGCACTAGCAGTGAGCAAGACTCCATGGGCGTGGGAGCCACTGAGCCAGGCAAGGGAGAGAATCTCCTTGTCTGCTGGTTAATAAGACCTTGGGAAAAGCACAGTATTTGGGCAGCAGTGTTCCATTTTTCCAGGTACAGTCTGTCACAGCTTCCCTTGTCTAGGAAGGGGAAATCCCTCACCCTCTTGCACTTCCTAGGTAAGATGATACCCCGCCCTGCTTCAGCTCACCCTCAGTCAGCTGCACCCACTATACAACCAGTCCCAATGAGATGAACCAGGTACCTCAGTTAGAAATACAGAAATCACCCATCTTCTGCGTCGATCATGCTGGGAGCTGCAGACCGGAACTGTTCCTATTCGGCCACTGGTGTTGAAGTTTCCATTCTCCTCCGCGATACCTCCTTTTTTTTCCCCTTTTCTCTTACAGTTTTTCAATTTGAACATATTCTCCAGTGTTAACTACATTGCTCAAATCTTCACTGTCATCTCAGTGGAGCAGAACAAATTGGGAACTGTGGCACAGATCACTCTTGCTATGCCCCTTAGAGAATTCCACATTAACAAGGCTAATTTTTGAGTGTGGTAAAGAACAGGCTAATGTATTTAATAGTGAATCCATTGATTGTTTCCCAGCATGAGGTCACACCAGATTTAACATGGTTTGGCTCTGTGTCCCCCACCAAATCTCAACTTGAATTGTAATCCCCATAATCCCCACGTGTTGAGGATGGGACCTGGTGGGAGATGATTGGATCATGGGGGCAGTTTTCCACCTGCTGCCCTCATCATAGTGAGTTCTTATGAGACCTGATGGTTTTATAAGGAGCCCTTATCCCTTCACTTGCAAGCTCTTCCTCTCTCTTTCTTGCTTGCCACTATATAAGACATGGCTTTGTGTCTCTCTCACCTTTTGCCAGGATTATAAGTTTCCTGAGGCCCCCACAGCAACATGGAACTGTGAGTCAATTAAAGCTCTTTCCTTTATAAATGACCCAGTCTTGGGTTTGTCTTTATAGCAGTGTGAGAATGGACTAATACAGTAAATTGGTGCCATGGAGAGTGTGGTACTGCTATAAAGATACTTGAAAATGTGCAAGTGACTTTGGAACTGGGTAACAGGCAGAGGTTGGAACAGTTTGGAGAGCTCAGAAGAAGACAGGAAGATGTGGAAAAGTTTGGAACTTCCTAGAGGCTTGTTGAATGGTTTTGACCAAAATGTTGATAATGTTGTGGACAATGAAGTCCAGGCTGAGTGTCAGATGGAGATGAGGAACTTGTTGGGAACTGGAGCAAAGGTCACTCTTGCTATGCTTTAGTAGAGACTGGTGGCATTTTTGCCCCTGCCCTAGAGATCTGTGGAACTATGAACTTGAGAGAGATGATCTGAAATTGGAATTTGGGTTTAAAAGGGAAGCAGACCATAAAAGTTTGGAAAATTTGCTCCAGGGCATGTCAGAGGCCTTTGCAGCAGACCTTCCCATCACAGGACTGGAGGCCTAGGAAGGAAAAATGGTTTTGTGGGTTAGGTCCAGGCCCCCCATGCTGTGTGCAGCCTCAGGACTTGGTGCCCTGTGTCCCAGTGACTCTAGCCATGGCTAAAAGGGGCCAAGGTACAGCTCAGGCCATTGATTCAGAGGGTGCAAGCCTCAAGTCTTGGCAACATCAATGTGGTGTTGGGCCTGCAGGCACACAGAAGATAAAAATTTAGGTTTAGGAACCACCGCATAAATTGTAGAGGGTGTATGGAAATGCTTGGATGTCCAGGCAGAAGTTTGCTGCATGGGTGAAGCCCTTATGGAGAACCTCTGCTAGTGCAGGGTGGTAAAGAAATGTGAGGTTGGAGCCCCCACACAGAGTCTCCACTGGGGCACTGCCTAGTGGAGTTGTGAGAAGAAGGCCACCATCCTCCAGAACCCCAAATAGTAGACCCAATAGCTTGCACTATGTGCCTGGAAAAGCCGCAGACATTCAATGCCAGTCTCTGAAGACAGCATAGAGGGGGACTTTACCCTGCAAAGTCACAGGGTTTGAGCTGCCTGAGACTGTGGGAGCCCATTTCTGTCATCACCTTGACCTAGATGTGAGACATGAAGTCAAAAGAGATCATTTTGGAGCTTTAAGATTTAATGACTGCCCTGCCTGGTTTTGGACTTGCATGGGGCCTGTAGCCCCCTTTTTTGGCCAATTTATCCCATTTGGAATGGGAACATTTACCCAATTTCTGTACCCCCATTGTGTCTTGGAAGTTACGAACTTGTTTTTGATTTTACAGGCTCATAGGGGGAAGGGACTTGACTTGTCTCAGATGAGACCTTGGACTATGGACTTTTGAGTTAGTGCTGAAATGAGTTAAGACTTTGGAGGATTGTTGGGAAGGCACAATTGGTTTTGAAATGTGAAAAGACATGAGATTTGGGAGGGACCAGGGGCAGAATGATATGGTTTGACTCTGTTTCCACCCAAATCTCATCTCAAATTGTAATTTCCATAATCCCCATGTGTTAAAGGTGGGACCTGGTGGGAGCTGATTGGATCGTGTGGGCAGTTTTCCCCATGCTGTTCTCATCCTACTGAGTGAGTTCTCATGAGAGCTGATGGTTTTATAAGGGGCTCTTCCTCCTTCACTCACAAGCTCTTCCTCTCTCTCTCTCGCCTGCTGCCATGTGAGACATGCCTTTGCTTATCTCTCACCTTCTGTCATGATTGTAAGTTTCCTGAGGCCTCCCCAGCCATGTGGGACTGTGAGTCAATTAAACCTCTTTCTTTTATAAATTACCCAGTCTTGAGTATGTCTTTATAGCAGTGTGAGAACTGACTAATACAACATTGGTGGTGATTGATTTTATACTGAAAGGGTTTAAAGGAGAGTCTGAGAAAAGGAAATGAATCTGCATATTGAGAAAGTTGATGAGAAAGTGGAATTAGAAATTCCTAGAAAGGTAAGCTGTTGTGTGAATGATTTCCCAAGATGGGGAAGTCTCTCTACCTGTTTGGAGACAGAAAGTGGAATCAGAGGGGAAGAAGATGATGGACAGAAAGGATCATTCCCTCTTCCAGATGCTTTCCAGTGTATGATGTAAGCTGAATTAAAACCAGCTGTGTTGAGCTCCAGCCAGAAAAAATGTCTGGTATTTTGGCTTTTTGGACCCTACTGAAATGGTTATAGGTCTCCAGATCTCTTGGGGCTCACAGGGTCATTCCTTTCCTTGCTTGGTGTGCTTGGTGAGAAGGTACCAGTGTTTCCATGGAGGATATTCATTTTAGGGATCTCCAGATGGTCATCTTTGCACCAGAGGAAATGCCCAATTTTTCCACTCTGAAAACCTAATCAAACTCTTTTATAAAAGATGAATACCCACATATAGGCCTCTAGCACTCTTCTGTTTTTGAGTTGAGACATTTTAAAAAGAGATTTTTCAATTCTGAAAAATCTTTAAACAATATGCTCTTGCTGGGAAAAAATTGTGGGTCAATATCATTCCCATCTCTACAAAAAGATATATATTTTTTTTATTAGCTAGGTGTGATAGCATGTCTGTAGTCCTAGCTACTGGGAATGCTGAGTAGGAAGGATCACTCGAGGTCAGGAATTCGTGGTTACAGTGAGCTGTCATCTTGCCTAAGCAACAGCTACAGAGCGAGATCATGTCTTTAAAACAAACAAACAAACAAGCTTTCACTTCTGTAAAAGCAACACTTTCCATTTACGACAGCACTAATCCAGGATATATCAAAACTGAACCTGTGTTTTCTTTCAGCTGTTAAAACTAGCCAGAATTGTTATAGATCCACTACCTCTGAGTGGCATTGGTGTGCCACTCTTTGCTGACCACTGAACAATGAGATTTATGTAACCAATTCTGTAGGTACACACCAATTCATTCTACTCTACCCAGAGTGGTGATTTCCAACACACAAAACCACCATGAAACTGCCCATGCCTTCCTACCACTTCAAAACTCTTTTCATCCCTGAACTGCTCCAAAAGCAAACCTATCCCCAGCAAACTACTCAGTGAGTATCTTCACACATGTAACTTCCCTCGTCTGGCTTACTCAAAAATGAACTCATTTTTCAAAAGCCCTGACAGTCTATCTTATTCTGATACTACTTGTATGGTTATTGCATAAAGCAACTACCCAGGCACCTCGTAGCATGTTGATTTCAGAGTTCAGTGTGAGACCCTGTGTGCCCCTGTGGGATGGTGCCAGCTCACTGCCCCGTTCCTGCTGTTTATTTCTTGGGTGCCATTCCATGAAGACTGGACTCTGAGGGTTCTAGAACATATCTAAACCCGTTATCACAGTCTTTGTTGGTTAATGATGTGTTCAGGCCATGGTTTTTCTGTAAAAAATTAACAGCATGCTGCTCTTAATTTTTTTCAGCCTGTCTAGTTCAGTTGTCCTTTTGCTCTCATGCCTTATGCAAACCTTCCCTCAGAGTTGACCCTATAAGATGGGACCCTTTGTGATGGACTACCCCAAGGCAACATGCCCCTAAAGGTCTTCATTTGGGGCATAACCTGTGCCAACAGAAAAGTACTTTCTCAGTTGTGTGTATGGTGACTCACCCAAACAATATTACAGATACACTTGACTTTCCTCAATCTAATTTGGCATGCCCCAAGCATAGCAATAAGATAGTTCTGTGTGGCCTTATGGAAATGCTTTTTTCACATTTCCAGGACCTACTGCCGAGACCAGCTCAGTTGTGGAGACCCTAACCCAGCAGCGCTAGAGGAATTAAAGACACACACACACAAAAATATAGAGTGTGGAGTGGGAAATCAGGGGACTCACAGCCTTCAGAGCTCAGAGCCCTGAACAGAGATTTACCCACATGTTTATTGACAGCAAGCTAGTGATAAGCATCATAGATTAACTAAAAGTATTCCTTATGGGAAACAAAGGGATGGGCCGAAACAAAGGGATGGGCTCTAACTAGTTATCTGCAGCAGGAACATGTTCTCAAGGCACAGATGGCTCATGCTATTGTTTGTAGTTTAGGAATGCCTGAAGCAGTTTTCCTCCCTGGGTGGGCCAGGTGTTCCTTGCCCTCATTCCAGTAAACCCACAACCTTCAGCGTGGGCATCATGACCATCATGAACATGTCACAGTGCTGCAGAGATTTTGTTTATGGCCAGTTTGGGTGCCAGCTTCTGGCCAGATTTGGGGGCCTATCCCCAGCAACCTACCACAGTTGGAGAACCACGTTAGGGCTGAAGACAGTCCTAGTATACCATTAACCAACCATGTAACCACAAGGTCTGTCCTCAGCCTTCAGAGGGAACATGCTTCTTACACTGATTTCAGCTCAGTGATACAGGATTCAAATGTCTGACCTCCAAAATATTAAGAGAATAAACACATGTTGTTTTAAGCCACCAAGTTTGTGGTAATTTGTTACAGCAGTGATAGGAAACTAATGCATCCACTTTACCAGGTTTACCTGCTTTTAAAAAGTCTGGGTTTAACCTTTTACCTAGATAATGGTCAACTTTTCCTACATCACCAGCATTTATGTGCAACTAAAAGCCATCATTAAATTAATTCAGAAGTATTAATATATTCATAGAT